AGTTCTTGGAAAAGGTGGGCCTTACCAAGGGCTCCGGTAGGATTTGATGTTCCAATCGTGAGCGGGCCAAGATTGGCAGCCTCACCAATACTTGCAAACATCAGAATGATGAATTTGATGAACCATGGGCAAAAGGGATTTTGCCTACCAGGGTGAACATGTGCTTCGACTGTTTCTATCCAAGCTGGAAGCAGAAAACTGTACGCAGGATTGGCAGCATTGCCTGAGTGATTAAATTTTGGCAACATCATGGATCGGCTTCAGCACCCCTTGTTGTTCAGAGGATGTCTGCCGCGCATGTCATTCAGCACGCCGTTTGCTCAGGAGTCGCTCGATGTGGGTGAGTTGCTCCTGCATCTTGGAGTCAATGTGACTGTGGATAGCCTCAGTTTGCCTCTCCACCTGTTGCTGAACGCTTCCAAGTTGATTGGCAAGTTCTGCGGTGACCTGCGTCTGTTTGGAGTGCTGATCATACATCACTTCCTCTAGGTGGGACAATCTCTCCTCAAGCATGCCAAAAAGGTCATCAGCATCCATGGGTGCATCTCCAGCATCAAGTTCTGCAACAATTTTGGTTGGCTGAAGGCGTTGATTCACTTTGGCAACAACGGATTCGAGCTGATCGGGTGGAAGACCTGCAGGTTGCCCAGTGTGGGATACTTTCTTTGGTCCTTCATACCTACTCCATGGGTCATTGACGTCCCATGGGTCAACTGCATCAACAACTGGCTTTGCCTGAATCAGGGCAGCCAGTGTGCGTGCTGACCCTTGGATGTCATTGGGGACACTGGGCCTCTTGGATGCTTTCTTTTCAACCTGAGTGATCAAGATGTCAGCATGGGCAAGAATACTTCACAAGGTGGTTTGCTCACAGCTTGCACCTCCCATACCGCCCCTTTTCCATTTGGCGCCCAGCTTTTCGGCTGACTGGGCCTCGCCTGCCATCCCCAAGCTGCAAACAACTTGACCAAATTGACTAGTGCATTGCGATTTGATCCCTGCGGGAATGGCGGCATGGAACAAGATGATGTCATCAGTTGCCAAACATGGAATATTGGGCTTGTGGAACTCATGGGCAGTTTGGGCATCCTCGGTTTTGACCCGTAGCCCAAAGCGCATACCAGACCTGACTATGCATGTCCACTGGGTTGTCTGCTGGGCTGCCAAAACTACACCCTGTCGATCTTTCTTATTGATCAAAAAGTACACGAAAAACGCCATGGGGACTGCGACCATCCGGATTGCGTGGCTCAATGTAGTGAGCAACTTTGCCTTGTTTTTGCATGGCAGCCTGGAGGTCGGTCAACTCCACTCTAAAACACACGCAGAACAGGGTGGCTTCTTCAGGCCTGGTTCTTTCAAGTTTCTCATTGAGCCACTGACGGTCCCAGACATCAATGATGGGACTAGCACCCTGTTCATTAGGTTGGACAAATCACCAGCCAGGCACTTGATTGGACGAGCACGGAACTTGTCCCATTGCATGTGATGGAGCTAATCCTTGTACGTGCACGCCCGTATGACGACTGCAGAGACCTCTTCAACCTGAGTGGGATTGGCTGGCGCAGATCGGAGGTGTGCGCCCGATCCTCGGCTCGAAAGCCTTGGACATCAACTACTCCACCCAAACCTGGAAAAGAGCCCTGTGAGCCATTACAACAAAAAGTTTCTTTTGAACCTTTTGCCGTGCTGGCTGGGCTTTGTGGATTGGGCGGATGCACCCCGCTTCATCCAAATTCCCTTTTTGGGGTTGGCCACCTTTGTGGTCCTTATGCGGTCGCTGTGCCAATCTTGTGGTGATCAGACTCTTGAGACTCCTCAGCAAAATCAGGTAGAAGACCTTGAGACCTTGTCCGCCAGGTTCACCTCCAGCTCCAAAGTGTTGGCGGTACAAAGATTGACAATGGCAGACAAAACTGGGAATGCAATGTCTGGACTACACTGAGTGCGGAAGGTGACGACAATGTTGAGCAAAGCAACAACACCAGGGTCTAGCTTGGGGGGCCCTAGGCCAAACTGGATGACACTGGAAACTCCTTTTTATTCCACCTAAGGCATGCCATGGCATGTGCCCTCAAACGGCCAAAGTGTTCACCTGCCAATGCAACACCTGAAATGCCATGTAATGCTCTTGGACATGCAACTGTGGCAATTGCACGTAGTTTCTGCTCAATGGGCGCAGCACTACGCATGAGGGCGCCCCAAAATGCTGCATTCTTCTCAATTCTTGCTCTGGAGCTGTAGTTGGTCATCCTTCTGGAGTAGTTAAGATGGCCACCCAAATCAGAGCCACCCAAATCAGAGCCATGTAGGATTGCTTGCTTGTCCAACTGGCGCAATGTTTTCCGGTCTTCTGCATTGTTGGCCCAAAACATCGTTTTCTTCTGGTCCAGCTGCAAGTCAATGGAAATTGCGAAGTCTTCCATGCCTGCAAATGTGCGACAAGTCGAGCTGACTTCATGGCTAAGTCCTTCCCAGCTGTTAAAAAATGTCATTACTCATTACTTGAGAAAGCGGGCTAACATTCGCAACACTTGGATGCATGGCCAAGTTAACCAGCACCATAGCAACGACACTGAGCGGATCCCCTTCGGGGTACCCATTGCTGCCAGACTAGGCCGGACACTGCACCAGCAAAGACAAAATGCCTCTGGACTCTTGAGAGAGCGTGGTGCCATGCCCTAACAAATTATACAGGCAAACCATACTGCAACGCACACGCATACACTACTGGCCTGGGGAGATTGTTGAAGGCTTTTGTCAAGTCAGTGAAGAAAACCTACCTTGCTGGGTAGCTGCTTCAATCCCAAGGGCTAATGACCACCAAACTCCAGTTGTAGACCTCCCTCCAGTATGCCGTGAAGCCCATCAGGGGCAAACTGAGCAAGCCAAGACAAGCATTGCTTGGCTCGGATTGATGACCATACCCGGTACGGCATTGTGAGAAGAGTGATGGGCCTAAACTGCTGTGGGGCAGCTGCATCAAGGCATTTTTCGACATTATTAATGTGTCCAACAGGTGCAGACTGGGGCCAAGGTTCCGAGAGGATCCTCAGCTGTCCTTTGGGCAGCTGTTTGGGAGTTGACATCGTTATGATGTCTTTTGTTGCATTCAGCTCCCGACTGAAATTTCAACAAAGTGTGCACACTCGTGAGTGCATGCCTTAAGCTTTACAATCTTTGCAAAGGCATGTATACCCTCACACCGGACATTACTCCAAAGTTAATGGGTAGCGTGCCTTCTGGCACCCATGAATAACCAAAAGTTTTTCAAAGTTCTGCAGGCAGCTGTTCTCAAAGTGTTGCCGCACCGGTGACATGTTTATATGAAGAGCCCGCGCTTTCAACCCGCCCGCCCACCCACACGTTGCTGCTTTCATGTTCCAGGCTCCAGAAACCTAAAGTGGTTTCTTGAGCCAATGCTTGCCCGAAGTCTCTCATACTTGCAAAGTGTAAAACACCCCTTCTCAGCGTGGAGAAGCCCCGCAGAACACGATGACATGGGTTATGAGGATGCAGCGCTTTAAACCCACCCGCCCGCCCAAGCATTGCTGCGCTCATGCTCCAGGAATGCATATTGGTTTCTTGAGCCAACGCTTGCCAGAAGTCTCTCATACTTGCAAAGTGTAAAGCGCTCCTTCTCAGTGTGATGAACGCCCGAATATTGGAAGTTTGCTTATAAACTTCTTACATTTCGCTATTATATGTTTGTAAATATTTCAAAATGCATACATATGTCTATATATATATGGATGCCTATCGTGTATATGTACCACTTTTCGTGCTTGCGATGCAAGTGGTGACAACACCTTCAAGGGCGTATCGCACCCAAGTAGTTAGAAGGAAACCATTTGTCTATAAATCATTGTCCATTTGTTATGGGCTCCTGAACAAGGAATGTGACGAGGTGTGGGCTAAAACCATTGACCCAAACACATTAAAACCAAACACTTAGCCTATAGCACCACGTCAATGTACCCCAATCTATGGTACATGTTGCCATTGGCTGGATGACTTTTCGAAGCATTATGCTTGAACATTGATAATCATCTATTATATCACCATTATCATCCCGGCGATACACTAATGATTGGGGATGTGGAATACCATCTAACTGGTCTTTTTGAAGGTCTTACAGTTGGCAAACACGAATAGGTTCCCAGTATTGATACCATGTACCCATATCTATATCTATGTAAATAAATAAATAATAAATAAATAAATAAATACTATTTAAATACATACATACATACATACATACATACATACATACATACATACATACATTACATACATTACATACATTACATACATTACATACATAACATACATTACATACATAACATACATTACATACATACATACATACATACATACATACATACATACATACATAGATAGTTCATATAGCCACCAACGTCAATGGTTTCCTCCTGGCGCCATCGCCCTGCACCCGCTGGCAACATGGACGCGGCTGCGATCTTTGCAGAGGCGCCGCTTGTCGGGTTGGACAGGTCTTTCTTGCCCTAGTCTTTGACACTACTTTCCGGATATGATCCACTACCCCGCATAGATAGTGGAGCACACCGGAAGCTACAGTAGTAATCACCCTTGATCCATGCAAGTTCAGTCTCCCATTTCCCATTTGGGCAATGCATAAATGGGTTGGAGCGATCGGCTTTTGCAAAATTGGGAACCGCTTTTTGCTGGAAAGTGGGAAAGCAAGACCGATTAATGTCAATTCCTCTGTGTTTCTCACCTGAACATTTATGAGCTGCGCACATACTTTCATCAAATTCAGTTGCTTCTGAAAGAGTAGGAGCTAGCGTGAGTCAATTATTTTGTTGAAGGATTCATCCTACCCCACTTAGTTTGAGTCCTTTCCAGCGGGTCCAAACGAAGAAAGGCGGTGACACCTCATTGCTGGACATTCCAAAGTTGTGACCACTTTTACAAATAGATACACACTAACCCTATAATATTGATACAATGAGGGTGCATCATCTATCGGCACAATCCCTCACTGGAGACCACGCCGTCAGGCATTTGCTCTTCACCTGCAGCCGGTGGTGGAAGTGCGGAGAAGGCGTGCAAAGCTCACCGGGGATCTGGATGGAAGGAAGTATTGCATTGATGATCATTGATGCATCACTTTGCTTCAATCATGGGGGGTCCCTTGTCCCATGGGTAACTGAAGAAAAATATATTGTTCATGAAATTGAATCACCAGTGAAAGCCATTGAATCACCAGTGAAAGCCTGCCTCCAACCATTCTAGAAAAAAACATGCCCAACATTCTCAGCGAAAAAACTGTCAGGCTGGGCCATCCCTGCAGTGGCTTCGAAGAGGCCATGCTGACCGATGGTCTGCGCGCGAGCAACCGGCTGGGTGTTTTAGACATAAGCCTGGGTAGAATGGAACCCTTATAATTCATTCGTAAATCCTTGGTTACCAATTCAATTCAGTAAGGGCTGGTTGGCGCTAACCCAGATGTATTGTTTGGGGTGGTTAAGCCATTGGGCACACGAAGCAATCACGCGCATGATTGCGAATAATATTTGTCATAGTTGGCCTTTTTTCTGCTATCTATTGTGGCCCCAAAGATTGCAGCAACTACCAGGGTTTCAATGCCTGAGAACTGTGTAACCTTCATTGAGGGTTATCCGCAATGTTCTACCTAAACATTCAACTGTCACTCATGGCAAGTGATCGAAAAATAATCAAACGGTTTTTCCATTAGATAGCAAACCTGTTGGTGATGGTTCCACCGCTTTGACGCCAGGAGTGGGAGGTTGCAATTTCTCATATCCACATAATAGATAGATATTGATGTATGTGTATATCTGTGATGATACCGGTTAATATATAGTTTATAATTAATTGATATATATATATATATAAATATATGTATCCTCCTTGACATACACCGAGATTGTTTACATCAATATGTCCGAAGGTATGTGTACTTACACACATGGTTTGTATGATTACAACATCATACCCCCCTATCGTGGGCAACCCGCTGCAAAGGTTGAGTGCGGCATGCGATCGTGAAACTTACTCGGGTTCTATAGGCCTGCATGGCCGCTGGGTTCAGCGATGCATCGAGAGCATCAACAATGTAGCTGCTAATCCCTGATTGCAACAGTTTGAAGAATAGTTCAGGCAAATAGTGCCTGTATTAGATTGTTTGCACGGTAGTAAAGAAATCCTTGTTTGCATTGCTCACAATGGGCGTCCCATATGCAGAACATTTTGGTTCGCAAGGTGCTCTGGTTGGGATTTTGAAACATTGCTCGTGTCTTCTCAATGGCCGGCGGTGGTGACGATGCGGACCGTCATATGGACCAGATGGCCTTATTTGATCGGGAAATGGGCCACCGAGGAGGAAATTGGAAATCGATACGTTTCTAAGCTGACTTGGAAGTTTATCCCATTGGTTAGCATACGATGGATGAGCAAAGTTGGGCCTTTCATAAGTCATGATTGGGATGCTCAAAAATGGCTGGTTCGAAATTGTACCTAAATGTGCGCAATATTATTTCATCAACAGTATGTACAGCGTTTTCAACATATGGCCATTGTGTTTTCTTTCAAAGCCACCCTATCTGAAAACCTATGTTTTCTTCAGGGGTTGATGTCTATCTAAGGTCCTGGCCGTGTGCCGTGGACCGAGCAATTTGTGGAGCCCAGGCTGCAAGATTAGATATTTGGGGTTCAATGGTTCAATACTTTTGAAGACCCCTCAAAAAGGAAAGATACATTTCTGTAAGAACAGCTTTGTGGGGGCCTGACAACGTTTCAATCTCACCGGGTCACATTCTTCACCCATCGCCTCGAAGCTCAGGCAAGTGTGGCTCATGAGATGCTTCGTAGCATTCCTGCACGCGCCAAGCAGATCATTATGGATGGGGACTTCTCTGGGACGGATCTTGTTCGACTGGACAGCGATATTCACCGCCCATCCTTTCGTGACAGGGTCTGCCAAAAATGGTTTTGATAATGGTTGGTTGTTTATGGCTTATGGTAATGTTTATGGTAATGGTTATGGTAACTGTTACTAGGGTACTGCACTTGAAGTCTACAATGATTGTTTCCTATTGGGCGTGTGCCCCAAACGATCCAAATCCAATGGACCATGATGCAACTTCTATCGGTTCCTTCCTAAATAGCGCATTGTTTCTCACCAACTGTTTGGCGCCAAGGCCATTGATATCCATTGCATCATTACATATGAATGATATGAACATATCCACTCATATCCATTGCGTCATTGATATCCATTGAAAAAATAATTACAGAATTGCATGATATGTTCAGTATTCAATTCTGCAATTAAGAAGGCATCACCGAATTACAGCCCATACTTCAAACTGTACAACTTGATTTCCTATTTGCAGAAAAGAATTTAGCCAATGCTGATAACTGATCACCTCTTAGCATCCATTGGTTTAACTCATTGCCACCAATGCGTTTTGGGTATGGCCTCTTACCTGCAATCACGCAGGACATCGCTGCGAACTATGTGTGGCTTAAACCCTTAGCAACCAAGTTTACCACCACTGTGCCAGGGGCCATCCTGCTGACGGATGTGTGGCTCTACTTGAATGACTTGCTCGACAAGCGTCTCTTAGTCAAGCCGCGCGTGCCAGTGCAGCTTCAGGCAGGACAGGAAGCGGAACGGTGTAAGAAGCTCATGGGTGCCTTAAGATACCTTTACAGGAACAGTGTCTTGGTTGATGCCTACTGTCATTTGTTTCTAATGTTTGATTCCACACTTACGGGTGTTTACTTTGCCTTTTTTTGGAGCCTATAGTTTGTACACACATACATATGCATGCATATGTTTATTATGTGGGCTATGCAATGATAAACCGCCCCCAATGCTATATACCGAATGCTACCATCAGTAGACAAAAAATCATCCAGAACTTTGCAGTTTACCAGTGGGCAATGCATGGTGCACACATGGAGATTTGTATTCTCATATATCATCCTATTTACACGTACGCATGTGTATTTGTATGGAGCACTATTTTTTTTTACAAGCATATGCATACATATGAACATACTCATGGTTTCTTAAGATGGGTCCTGATCCTAGCTGTTACTTCACCGCCAATGTTAGGTATGACGAGCCATGATCACAGAGTGACCTCTTTGAAGGCCCTGCTGCAACCTTCCCCTCAGAGCATAGTATCTGGGGTTTCAGCTTCAGATTTGGTTTCTGAGTTGTTGGGCGTATCATAGGCTGGAGGATGTTGGGCCTCTAGTGGCTCATTTTGATGGTTTTGTTGGGCCTATGTTAGGCTACATTGGGGGGTCATGTTGATCCAAAACTTGATAAAAAAATAGGGACCCAGCACTAGGTACTTTTTGAAGTTGATTACCTTCCAGGGTTTTGTATATTTTGTTTTTTAACCTGGCACCAATATGATGCCTTCTACTTCAGAGCGTATCATTAGTGCTGTCTGCTGAGGCACGGCGAGAAGCCAACAGACTGCATCGACTTCGACGTCTTGAAGATGCAGACATTGAGGTCTGCTTGGGTTAGCCGTGATGTGCTGTCAGGGTGGGGCGTGATTTTTGAGGGTGTAATTTGGTAGTATTTTGGATGGGAATAGAATTTGGTTTATCAGCATGAACGATGACTCAAAGACAACCTAGAGGTTTCCGATCCAAGTGTCTTATTAACTTGAATGGTTCACTGTTGTCTACTGTACTCTACAATGTACTGGAACACTTTGGCCAAATAGGGGGTTGCAAAGCCTGTGAGGCCGCGGCCAGCCCTGGGTCTGCTGATGATGCTGGCGCCGCTCCAGCTGCGCCTATTGGTGATGGGGCGGCCGGTGGTCCTGATGCAGCGGCCACTGCTGATGAGGCCACTGCTGATGAGGCGGCTTCTGGTGGGGAGGCCGAAGCTGAGCAGGAATCTTCTGATGAGGAAGATGGTTCTGATGACGGTGGAGATGGTGGTGATGACGGTGGAGATGGCTCTGATGAGGGGGCTTGTCCTGATGATGGAGAAGGTGATGGCGATTCGATCTTGGATGCTCCCACCCTTGTTCTTGGTGGTGTCTCTGATGCCGGGGACAGCGATGGGCTTTCTGGATCTCCCACAGAGGATAGTGATGGGGAGGGACCTGAACCTGAGGGTGCCGAGGACACCTTGCCTTCCGGGAGCAATGGTGACAGATCTCTCGGCCGTGCGTGCGAGAGGTTTGGGTTTGGGAAGATGTGTGACGGGCGTGACTGCGCCCCTTGCTATGAGGCCCTGTTTGTCACACCAAAGCGTCGACGCATCAATGAACCTGAGGAGCTTGTGTCCGAGGAGAAGATGAAGACTTTGCCGCGTTCTCGAATGGAGATGAAGCCGGACGGCAAGTTGGTTACTTGCCCACAAAAATCATGGGTGTGTTTGGGTGGCTGAGGAAGGTTAGACTCGTGTCTTGGGTTTCTTCACCTTTACACAGGGAACCTGACTGTGCAATATGGGTTGTCCAAAAATAAACCACGATCACGGGTACCAAACATAGGTGTACTACACCATTCAAAACTAAGCTTCTTATTGGATCACTTGCATTACCATAGGTTTGTGATGTTGTGTTACGTATTGTTACTTGGTTTTCTTCGATGTTCGATTGTGTTGCGTGAACCTTTGTTCTGCAGTCCTTTGCAGGATTCTGATGGTGTTGCTGCTTTTTTCCAAGAGATGGAGACTACCAGTAACCAAGTTCGACCTTACAAGTCCCCGAATGTACTCAAGTTGCCTCACCTCGAAAAGCCTTCTTGGATGAATGACGTTGAAGCCACACTTCGAAGCGCTTCTCCCCCAATGGTCGGAAATCAGGCAACTAGGTTTACGCCAGGGGATGGGCAGGTATTAGTATGATAGCAACCAGACCAATACAAGGGCATTCTTATTTATATAGTTGTTCAGTAATTTCTGTCAAAAACCAAAAGCCAAGAATCAAACGAATTTAATCAAATGGTGTCACCCTATTTCACTTAGGTTTGGAAAGTGCCAAGGGTGCGAAGGGGTGGTGGCCCTCATTGGTCTGATTGGCCATCGCATTCCTCATCCAGTGCAGAGTTCACAGTATCACCAAGCCATCCAGAGCATCCTGTAACTTGAAAACACGGGGCAGCCCCAAGTCGTGTTTTGTATAGGAGCCATTCTTCCAGCATGTTGTTTCAATTCAGATTGGAATACAGTTGGGCAATGTTAGCCGCTTTCTGCGTAAAACGCAGGTTGTGATTTCAATGGGTGTGGTTTTATCTTTTGGCTTTGAATGGATTTGGAACTAACCCATCCCAATCTTTGTTTCCGAGGCAAACCCAAAATCCAAGAAGAAGGTGAAGAATGGCAAGAAGGCCACATTCCGCCGTGGTCATGGCAAGCGCCCCAAGGGTCCCAAGGGTGCTGAGGGTGGTGTGGATGCTGACTCGGACCATGCATCAGCGCCGCATGATGATGATGAAGTCAGCGACCATGATCCCAGTGATTCTGAGGTTGGATCCTATTTCAAACATGTCCTATACCTTATGTCTTTGCAAAAAGGTTCACCCATTGTTTTCAAATGAAATTGTTTTCAGCTACCGGTGAAATCTTTTACAATTCCCTATGCAGGGGAGCTACCGTGGATACAGCCTCAAGGGAATCCCTTCGCAAGCACGACCTTCTAGCAATTCTTTGGGCGCACACAGCTACACCGTGAAGCGAGGTGATGCCAGGATCGAGGTGAGCATGGACCAAAAAGATTTTTGTTGTGTTTTGTTAATTCGATTCATGGTCAGAAAAGAAATGATACCAACCATGATAGATCGGAGAGATGAAACCATTACCGAAAACAACTAAAATCATAAACTTCCAAACATTTTCGGCTGCTCAGGTGTTGCTCCGACAGCGAGCTTTCTACGTGAAGGGTGGCGTTTCCGGGCCCCACGTTGCTTGGAGCAAGTTTCCCACGATCTCTGATGCCTGGATTTGCGCCTGCACAAGGGCAGGCGTACTCCCATGAGTACCATGTTTGAAGGATCTCTATAGTTTTGGGAACATGCATCATACGCTGCAGCGTAGGAGCTCCCAGGTTTGGAAAATAACAGGTTCATTGATTTGTCCAAGTTTGTTTCGTTTGTGGGGACGCCAACCTTATGGGGGTTGAGCTGCGGTCTGCGTTGATGCGTGCGGGGTATCTACAAAGCATGCTGAGCTGCTGAACATGTCAGAACTTGTTCGGTAGCATATGCTTTCAATTCCTGCGGGCATACAGGGTGCAAAGCACCCAATCAATAGAGGATGAACCTGAAGCGGTCTTTGCGCAAAACAGCGTGATGCATTCTGAATTAAATGTGCCGTTAGTACTCAGCACTTATGGATACTTATGGTTTATTTTAATTGGGTTCTAAACACTTAATTGGCCATTGGTGGTCACTGTGGGTCATAATTTGGGTTCCATTTTTTGACATAAAAAAGGGAACCCAAGTTTCGAGCTGAGTAGCTAGCATTTCGAAGCTTTAACTGATCGAATAGATGCCAGTACGACGTATCGCGTGCGCGTGGTTTATACATACCTTGTTCCTCGCGTATTGCGTTTCTCTCTTCTCCACCTCCCTCTTTTGTTTTGTGATTGTCATCACATGTTTGCTTTCCACGGCCATTGCTACCCAAGAATAATCAAACGTACTCAAACGTAAGTTTAGACGGGAAAAGGGTATACATGTATATGCATGTAAGGAAATTACATTTGCCAAATGGCGATAAAACGCAAGGACTTTCCTGGACATCAGTTCTGCAAACATGAGAGGATATTCGCTACGAGAAAACAAAAGGGTATGGAAGCTGTTGGGGCTCAATTGAATGCTTTTCATTTTGGCTTAGGGCCACCGATTCCAATGGGAAAGAGCTGTCTCCCCGCCATGCGTACCATCCGGTCTAGCTCCAAGGGTGCCACCCCAGACTTTGAGAGTCCTCCAAAGATGTCATTCAAGGAGACGAAACGGCGAATGATCATTGCTGGCCTGAGGGCCATGCGAGCACCAGCTGCTCTTTGTCCAAACTTGCAACAATCATAAACCATGTACTGGGGGTTATGGAGTGGGCTATCCAATCATAAACCATCTATTTTTGGATGGGTTATGCAACTAGCTTTGGAAAATTGATGGTTTACTGTTGGGCAGCTCACGTTGGATTTGGTGGTGGTATCCACCTTAAAATAGTTCGGTGTACATATGTACATATTTATCAATGAGTAAATCTGTTTTTGTGGTTGGTTACCCAGCTGGTGTTGTATGCTGAAAAATTGGGGATGGGGTGTAATCCCAAAGGCTCCAGATCATACTCTGATATGGATGGTCCCTTGAAAAAAACCTAAGGTTGTCGCCCTCATCGTCAACCTGGTCATGGGCTTGCCGGGTTTGGACTACACCCCGTCCAATGTGTTGCATCATTTGGAACTCTTCGCTGGAGACTGTGCAGTTTCCAGGGCCGAACATATGGACTGCCGGGGTTGGTGACATCATGGAATGTTGAAAACAAATTCCAAACACAACTATGGAACCATCAATGGTTATCTAACACATGTTCGGAAGGGCCCCAGCAATGTCTTACTTATGGGTTTGCATGGATTATCTTGCTTTAATCTGCCAAAGGAGTCATAACCCTTGGAACTATACAAACACTGGCTATCTGGTTTCATGGACATGTGAGTCATATGAGCAATGATCAATAACTCATGGTTAATAACCATCAACCATATTTGGAGTATTGACCATGGCTCATATGACCCCTCGCAACCTTTCAAATCAAAACATCGGTATCAACTTTTCCTGATGGGGGCTCTTGTTCTATGCAGTGTGGGGGGTTTGATCATGATAGTAATCATGGAGTGTTTGCTCATTCAAAGTCAATGGTACGTAGATCTGATTGTTCCAACATATTCCCAGCTAATTGCCAATGCCCAAAGTATCTTTAGGTAACCAGTTGCCATTTGTGTACATGAGGATGTCATCAAAACTTCATCACCTCACCAGAGTGGAAGAATTCATCATTCCATCGAGCAATCTAGTCTATTTTGCATTACTTCTTACTGTTCATTCGGTGCTGATTTGCTGAGCCCACATTACTATTCATGTACACCCAAAGCCCAAAGCGAATGGTTGTGTTTGCCACTATTCTGATCCAGATGCAAGTAACACACAACTGGATAGTTCCTGGATATGACTATATACAGTTCCTTCCATCGATGGTGTTTGATAGCAACTTGGGATGCGTGACTATGGTTAAAAAGAGTGATACTGAATGTGATCAATCACCCCTCAACATTTATTTTTGTTCAATGAAAACCCATCCACTTTGAGGGGCCAACCATTTTGAGCCACATGCATGGATCCAGCCCCAAACAAAACAATGCTCGACAATGTTAAAACCTTTGCCCACACCGATACGCCGCAGGAAGGTCGCAAAGTGCTGGCAATGGACATTGCTTGGGGAGGGGAGAGCATGGACCTGATGACTCCCCAAGGATTTTTGGGCGCAGTCTACCATGCCACCAGGTTGGTTCCTGGAAGTGGTTGCCTAGCAGCCCCTGTGTGCTCATCATTCGTTTTCTTGAGTATTGGCCAAAAACCAATTGTACAAACCTTTTATTTTTGTAATCCTCCTCACTGTTTGTTTGGTCTTTTGATGGCCAGTAGCGCCATTTGCAAATTACATACAAGTGTTTTTTGTTAAAGACCCCGTATCATTCCATGATGAGAATGCGAAAGCTGGATATTCCCCCAAATGTTATGACAGGTGTCTTTCTGAGGTTGGTTTGACTTGGTATGTCAATATCCAGTAAATATCAATGGTCCAACCGAGCCCTATGAGTCTTACGCGCACACCCACTCCGAATGTCATCCCTTTGCCCAGGAACTCCGGCACCAGTCGAAGGTCAGCATCAAGGCCTCTGGGCCAGGAGGAGTACCCGAGCGTTTGGCTCGGGAACGTGTTGGCTGCGAGAACCCTGATCATCATCATGATCGCCCATGCTTTGGGGTGCTTCTGGGTGCTAGAACAACCTAGGGGGAGCATGATGGAGCTTCACCCCAGGTTCCAGGAAGTGTTAAAGAAAATTCGCGCCTGGAGGCATTCCCTGTCCATGCAAGATTATGGTGCACCATCTCCTAAGCCAACATGGCTTTATGCGAGTCAATTGGTTACGTTGGAGAAGCGTTTCATTTTTTGAAGTTCCCAAAAATGGTTTGGGGTTTGCGGGAATCCATATTCGTAGGGAAGTATGCCAGGGTATCTAATCAACGAACCATGGTACACCAAGTGGTTATATAATTGGGCTGGTATTACCTTTGCTTGTTTTTCAAGCCAACCTGGTGATTTAGGGTGTCTTCGATGTCTTTGGCTAAGCTGGTCCCAAATGGCCCGACATAGGCCCAACATAGCCCTACAGTAAATAGCTTAACATAGGCCCAACATGGGCCCAACTTAGATACCAATCATGCAAAATGTTGGACCCTTGTATGGCTCAGCTGGTCGGTCACCATGTTGTGAAACCACCAATCAGGTCTGTTGATATCGGCGAGTAATTGTTGGGTCCATTGCATCTGTCTTTTCAAAAAACCTTCGTCTAGTGTCAGTAAACGAAATCATCAGCGAGATCTTGAACTTCAAACCATCGTGGCTTCCAGCCCCTGATCCAGTCCAGATGGCCGTGACCTATGTTGACTCTGCAGGGAAGAAACGAGTGAAAGGGGGCCGGGATTTGAAAAACAGCCAGAGTTACCCAACAGGGTTCTGTCCTCAGTTGTTCCACCTATGAAAGCAATGTCAAAAATGTTACCACTATTGTAGGTGATGTCGTATATTATGGTTTACCCGTACATGTGAGCCATCCAAAACCACATGGTTTATTATTGTGTAATCCTGGGTTATTATTGAGTAACCAAGATTATGGTTTGATGTCTGCCCCAAAATGTTAAACATGCTCGCCCCAAAATGTTTTCATCGAGGATATCAACCATCACGAAGAATGGACAGTTGAACATCCCAACAATAGGTATTCTGATGATCTTAGGCAAATTCAACTGGTTACCAAAGTTTTGAATAGAGGTTGTATAGGAAACATGTTTTCAGCCCAGGTTCGGCAAGGCATTGGCCCGCCTGCGTACCAAGCATGCTGATGCGGTGAGAAGAAATGCTAGGAGCGCAATCAGACACAATTTGAAGACTTACCGCAGCATTCCTAGGAACACTAGGGCTGATGCTCGATGGATCAAGAATGCCGAACTTGGCCCAGTTCTTGACTTTCTTTCTTGAAATTTAGGCGAAAAGGTTTGCAGCAATTCGCTGACATGAGCAAATCTAGCTCTTTGGCTCCACCATGGATGCAACCAACTAACATGATTTGGCTGTGGGTTTCTGGTCCCCACATTTGGCAGGATAAAAACGGAATACATGAGCGCGCTCTTTGAAGAACCCTACACATCACATCCTTCACAATGGTTTCGAAAATCCTTCATAGCTATTTGTGTGGATGCTTTATGATTCGTTAGGAGGAGTATAGTTGATTGATGAAGCTTCCACACTTGGGTACCAAACATATATCATTGTTTCTCTCATATTGAACCCCAACCATCGAGTCATTTTGATTTTGAGGAATCACAGGTCATTGGTTTCAAGAATCCTCAATATTGGCGCGGTTGCTTTTGATGAGTATAGCTGACTGATCAAACTTCCACAGTTGGAATGCAGTCTACCAAACAGGTATCATTGTTTCAAAGTATCCTTTTTGAAACAGTTTTTGGGGTTCAACACCATAAAAAAGGACACTCATTTGGAACCCCAACCATCGAGTCATTTCGATTTTGAGGAACCACTAGTTAGGGATCATATCCGTGGGTGTTTTTTATACATTGGATTGATCAATCGCTGTGTAATCTTTGTTTCTGAACGTCCTGTGTTTAACAATGTTTGGTTCTCAAACATATAAAAGAAGGACGGTCATATTGAACCACAACTATCAAGTCATTGAGATATTGCGGAACCACAAGTTGGAGAGGGTATCAGTAAATGGAATCTGCTAATGCCTGTCCTGGAGCCTGTCTTTATAAGCATCCTTTTGTCGCAGACTTAGGGTTTCAAAATCAATAGCAATGGATATGTGTTTGGAACCAAAACAATTGAGCCATTTTGACACTGAGGAACCAAAGTTGAGGACACTACACATTAAAACTGTGTACAAATTCAGCAGCTGACAAGGGGCCCCATTTGCTACTTTATATATTGCACGTCATTGTCAGAAAGTGTAACCCATGTGTGGTTGAGCATGTTTCTGCCCACACCCACTGGTTTGGATTCTGACACCTTCCAAAACCCAGCAGTGCCTCACTGGCGGCAGGTCCAACAATGGGAAGGTTCGTGCTCAAGCACATGGTCAAGGGTACGCTCCTTCCCAAGCCAATCCCAGCTGCACTGGGTGGATGGATGGAGATGGTTAACCAAAGGGTACCAAAGTTATGATTTGTATTCCATACATCAACAATTCAGCCGCGTAGTGTTGAGAAATCGGCCGCGTGGGGTGTAGAAAGGCCGCGGTTTGTATTTTGACCAAAATACTTCAAGATTGATAACCTTCAGTATCATTGAGTTGGCTCACAAAGTAAATGTGTTGAGAAATTGGCCGCGTGGGGTGTAGAAAGGCCGCGGTTTGTATTTTAAACCAAAATACTTCAAGATTGATAATCTTCAGTATCATTCAGCCACGAAATGTTGATTTTGCAACTACGGGTGATGATATGCTTCTCTGATGAGACAGTGCCCAATTGTCAAATCAGCCACGAATGGGAACCCCAACCGCTCATGAAATCAAAAGGCCTATGTATTTGGTTTTTTCTTTGGGTTAGGAAGCAAAGCCCCCTATGTGTTCATTGTCATGTTTGTGTTTTGGAGAGCCTGGCGAGACAAATCATGTATGGTCACCACATGATTTTCCAAATCAGAGCAATACGGTTTTCTTCAATCAAATGGACAAACTAAATGCTTTGTTGTTTTTCGCATAATATTGAGCATCATTATATGAGTGTAAGTGACCCCAAAAGCTCAGGCATACCTTTTTGATACCGTCATGAAAGTGAATTTACCATGTCATGTATCCAGGCGTCAAGTTGTGTGGTAACCAACCATGCCCTGTTCAGCCCTGTCCTCTTGTGGCCATTGGCCTCAGCGAGTTTTGCCGGTGGAAGATTCCAAGCGCTAGTTTTGATCATGGCGAAAAGTGGAAAGGAAAAGACTCCAGGGGTCAAAAAGACCATTTCGAAGGATGCTCAGCGTCAAAAAGACCATTTCGAAGGATGCTCAGCGTGAAGAAAGGTTGAAGAAAAGTGAAAGCAAAGCAGAGAAGCTCAAAAGTGAAAAGAAAAAAGCTGAAGCGTGCAGGAAAGAGAGTCACAAGAAGGATAGTGGGAAGAACAAGAAGAGCCCCAAGCATGAAGAGAAGAGATCTAGTCAGAAGGATGTCAAGAAGGGAGGGAAGATAGAAGAGAAGAGCGCCAAAGACAAGAAAAAGCAGAAGGTGACTGAGAACACAAAGGAGAAGAGCATTGAAAAAAAGGAGGCAAAGAAAAAGCAGGCAAAGGAGATCCCCGAAGAGAAGACGAAGGAAAAGAAAACGAAGGAGACAAGCAAGACCTGTGCTGCTGAGAAGCATGGGAATGCCAAAGATTTGAAGAACACCAGCCCAGAAAATGAAGCTCAGACAAGGCCGTCTGCGTTGAAACAGAAGGGAAGTCATGAGGAGCCAAAGCGGCGCCGAGTTTCCTTCAAAGGTGCGCCAACCACGGTGGACTACAAAGATGCTAGCAAGCCTTCTGAGATGGCGTTGGTGGCTGCACCAAACCATTTCAGGACACCGTCGCCAAAAAGGACTTTGCAGTCGCCAAGCGTAGCAGGTTCAGAGATCTCTCTGGATAACGTGCAGGCTTGGAAAAAGGAGGCTGCCAGGCTTGGCGTCAGCTTGGAGACTTACATGGAAGATTTGTCCAGAACGCAGTTTGAAAGAACGGTTGAGGAGCACATGAAGTCTCTGATGAAAGAGAAGGGAGGAGAGAAGGAGAAAGATGAAAATGAGTCAGAAAGCCGAGAGGTTGAAGTGGATGACATCCCCTTGCTCTCTGACACATCCAGCGAAACCTCCATGGGGTCGCCAAGTGAAAGCGAAAGTGCCAACCAATCCAAGGATGAGACCATCGAAGCCCATGGTAAAAGTGCTGATGATGCTCAGGAGGAGCCAGAAGAAGCTTCAGAGGAAGGAGAGGAGGAAGAGGAGGATGAAGAAGAAGAGTTTGAACAAGACCTTGAAGAGCAACTTGACCTAGTGATGCAGGAGAAGGATGGAAAGGAAGCAGCAAAAGAAGATGCCCTAGTGATGCAGGAGAAGGATGGAGAGGAAGTCGCAAAAGAAGATGAAGGAAACGCAGAGGGAAACAACAAGGAGGGAGAGAAGGTGGTTGGGAAAGACGCGTTGCCAATGGTTGTTGCCAGTCAGGCTGCCATGCAAGCCAACAAGTATGGTGAATTCGCCAATGCCAACAGCACCTTGACTTCTAAAGCTTTTGCCTGTACAAAGTATACCAAAACTAAACTTAGATCGACTCATGAGTTCCCAACTTTCTGCCAACCTCAAGTAACTATGGACTTCTTTGAGTAGCCCTCGCCAGCTCAGGCAGCAACCAAAAGGCTTCGTGGGACAAGTTCTGCCGCCAGTGCATGGACAGGAAGAAATTCCCGGTTGCCTTGGCGGGTGCATACGTCAAGGATAAAACCGACTTGTTTCGGTGCTGGCTTTCCAGTTCACAGGACTGGTCAAAGTTGCTAGCATCCATTGTTTGTTTTCGCATTTACGATTTTGTTTCTGCAACTTTGTGGGGTTAGAACTAGTATGGTTTTGAGCAATTGCCTTTTGATTGGTTGTTGACCTTCAACTGGGCATGTACCAAATAGGGTTCAATCTAAAATGGTTTGTACATTACATGGTGGTTAGCTTGGATCCCACCAATGGTTCAGTAATGATGGTCATCGAAAAATAAATTACACGGGGGTTAGCTTAGATATCCCACCAATGATTTATCAATGATGAAGCTACACCGGGTATTTACCAAATCAGGATAAATCAAACATCATGCACTATAGGGTGGTTTACCCAGACCTCCCCATATACCAAATATCTATCAATCAAAAATGGTTGATACATGACATGGTGGTTACTTTGGATACCCCACCAATGGTTTATCAGTGATAGGTTCATATATCACATGGTGGTATTTCTATATATACCACCAACGGTTTGTCAATGATAAAGCTACACCGGGTATTTACCAAATCAGGATAAATCAAACATCATGCACTATAGGGTGGTTTACCCAGACCTCCCCATATACCAAATATCTATCAATCAAAAATTGTTGATACATTACATGGTGGTTGCTTTGGATACCCCACCAATGGTTTATCAGTGATAGGTTTATATATTACATGGTGGTTAGCTTAGATATCCCATCAATGGTGTATCAATGATAAAGCTACGTTGGGTATTTCCCAAATCGGGATAGGTCAAATATCATATACCACAGGACGGTTTACTTAGACCACCCCATATACCAAATATGTATCAATCAAAAATGATTGGTATATCACATGGTGGTTAACTTGGATATCCAACCAATGGTTTTTCAGTGATAGGTTAATACATCACATGGTGGTATTTCTATATATACCACCAATGGTTTATCAATGATAAAGCTACACCGGGTATTTACCAAATCGGGATGTATCAAACATCATGCACTATAGGGTGGTTTACCCAGACCACCTCTGATTGGTTTGGGGTTACATGCAATGAACCACCTAGTTTGGGATTGTTGATGGTAAACTGGAAGGTGGTTTATTATTGAGTAACTCGCATCATTTCCATCATGGTCTAGCCTGTAGATGTGATTGTATTTGTCATGAACTTAAGTGATTACCACTCATTGGAGGGGCCATGTTCCTTCAACCAGTTATGTATCAAATGGGGGTTGATCAAAAAGAGAATCTGACATGGACAAAATGAAATAACTTTCCAGCCCAGTTAGGACAAAATGAAACAACCATTTGCAACTTCATGGGTTTTCGAAATACTGATATTTAACCATCAAGATATAGCTGGTTCATCATATCCCCTTTATTTGTTTTCGACTCAAATAGTTTTCAAGACCAGGATACCCCAACAGCCCATCTCGCTCAGGGTTTCAATGGAATTTGAGCGACGTGCTGAATCCCGAAACACTGCGACCCGAAAGAGAGCTGGAACAAAGGCTCGTGACATCATGAAGCAATACCCCAAGGAAAAGGCAGAGGCGTTGATTAAGAAACTCAAAGAGAAGGGGATGTACTATTTCGATCCTGACTTTGAAAATGACCACGAGGACCCAAAGGGATTGTATTTCCAGCTGCCAAAATGTTGGATTTCAACACTTCAACAATAATGGTTAATAATCTCAACCTCCAAGACATCTTATCAAATTGGCTTGTCATCATGGCCTTGTATTAGGAAATCTTCTATTATACCAACTGCGGGAATGAGCTGACCAATGAGCAAATCACTTCAGAGGCTATGTCCATCAAGGTTCGCGAGGAAAACAACCAAGAGCTGGCTGAGGCATTGACCACTGAGGGTGGCCCCTTGCAAAATGGAATTTTGCCTGACTGCGATGCGTCAGGGGACTCCGGGAAGAAGGCTTTGGCTGAAGCCATGGTGAATGCAGTGGTGAATGCGGCTCCAAAGCCAAAGCCCACCAAGGAAAAAACTGACAAAGCTGAACCAAAGACTGTTTTGGAGTCGGGGCCCTGGTTGGTGCAATGGGGGTTCACTTAGGCAAAAATTCAATACATATATTACCCACCAATGTTTTTTCTTGCAGTGCATTGCCAATTCTTTGCAATAATCTTGATAAGGTAGAATGGCCACGAGTCCTTCCCACAGATTACTTAGCTTTGAAATCCTCTTTGATGTTACGGCTTTGATCGATGAAAACAATTGTTGCTTGGCTCCTTCCATCCAGCGGTCAACTTGAAGATTACTTGACCACAAAACGTGTTTGTTGGTCCAATGTTCCACTTTGAAGGAATGGGCACCATTAGTCATGGAAGTGTTGATGCTAGCTGCTAGCTAATGTTGGATGATGTGCACATATCTCAACAGGTCAAGGCACCTTCATTGATTTTAGCATCCCATGTCTACATGGTTTCTACTGATAATCTTCCACTAAATCATGGATGACCCTCGCATGGAATGAATGGTATATTTCTCAACTTGTCTCCTACCATGGTTGGTTTGCTTCAGTGGTGCGGTCTAAGCTTTGGATGCCAACCCAACATAGATCCCATTTGCCAAGTTTTGACCGATCATGCTGGCTCATACCTTAAGTATTCAAATCAAAAGAGTTCACTCCACTGTTTTTCCAGCCATTTCCAAACCGTGATCTACTTGGTTTCCCGGCAGGTTAGCTGCAGATCGCATGGAGCAATGCCTGAGCAAGGGCGCGTCAGCCCGCAAGTTTGCCATCAGCCTGGGTACTCTTGAGTACTCGGGAGACCTAGCTGACAAGATGATGCAGTTCAGCTCAAAGATGGAGAAGTTGTACCACCATTTGCAGGATTTGGTCAGCCGGAAAGTCCAGGATGAAACTTCATACCGCAAGTATTTCACCATCTTGGATGAGAAAACGCAATGGTATGAGAAGGCGGAGGTAGGGCCTCTCAATGTTTGGTTGTCAAAATTTGTTCTGCTGCTATCAAACAACAGGTTTTACATAATTTACCTTTGTAGCAAGATCTCTGAATGTACATAGTTCTCCAATTAGAAATTCAATTCTATCATTCACCGGAGGATACGCCAAATAGAAATGACCAATGGAAGTGTCTTGAATAAAAAAAGCTTATGGTGAACTTGACAATGATTTTTTATCTTATATATCTTATATGGTGTTGATTGATGACCCCTTTCCATGCAACCCTCGATATCAAACCATCTCGCATCCATCTCGGCAGGCAGCTGCGAAGGGCCTGCAAACAGGCTTGAAGCCAAAGAAGGCGAAAGCGAAGGCGAAGCCAAAAGCAAAGGCCTCTGAAGGTGATCAGGCTAGCTGAAGAGCCAAAGGCTTCAAAGGGCTGTGAGCCCTTTTTTTTGAGCAACAATCTGGGGTTAAGCCAACGGTTGCCATTTGAATAGGTCGATAAAAATCTTCATCCCATCAAGGATTTACCATGGCAGCTCCAGCTTTGTTGGTAACAATTCCCAATAGCCGTAGGAGACCATTGGTATGGTCTGCATATCTTCATTTCTGCAGTGATAGCCGCAGCGTGGTAGGACAAGATCAATCACTAACTGGTTGCGTAAACCTTATAGCCCTGTATTCGTCATTCGAGCCATGAAATATATTCCATCCTAACCCTTTACTGTATGCTGGCTGGTTTTTTTATATCTTATCATTGCTTATTACATTTCAACCCCTATATAAACCATGAGCACGAAGCCTTCAAACCATTTATGGACTGGGTATTTTTCATGGCTCATATGAGATCATTGACCATTCATAGTATAGTCAAATGATTTGTTTCATGATCAGAACCGGTGAAGCAACTAGGTAGCACGTGCACACGTGATTTTGCTGGGGTAGCTGCTGGAGCATTGCTGAAAGAGAAGTTAGGAAAAGGTAGCGCCGAGCACATTGCAGGGTCTAAGTTCAATGAGATGTACTTAGCCAGAGTGATTGGCCGTCGCATTAAAACAATTCTTTCCTTAACCATCAAGTTTCCAGAAAGTTGTTATCATCGTGATCCTACGCAGACCCTTTCAGGATAACAGTGAAAACATTTAAGCTGTTTTATCATATGTCATATGCCTAGACTTTGCAATGAGCTGGTGAAAGTCAACCCAACATGTTGGTGTTGCAATTGCTGCCCCCTTCGCAGGTCATCAGCAGCAGCGCGCATCAGGCCAAAGGTGGAGGGCTCGAAAACCTTTACAATGGTTTTAAAAGTTTTGAGTGGACAAAAACCCTGAAAGGCGAATGAGGTTTGAATCCATGGGCAAAAGCCAGAGTGCTGATGAGTACTTGCGTATCTTCGAGAAACTATTTTTTGATTTGTTGAGTGGCTTCGCATACCAATATTTATCACAGTCGGATTGTTACGGTACATGCGGGTTTCAAAATTGATTTAGCTAATACGGATAATTCAGCACCTCATTTGATATTATTTTTTTAAGTGTTTGATTATTTGTGATGAAAACTGGCTGTGGTTTCTTATTGGTTAACCCATGTCAGCATCGGTTTATTTGATGAACCCAATGTGCTTTTATTGTTGTGATGATTTATCATATGGTTCTTAGCTTTATGTATTGGTAATTGGGGTTTCTTACCTGACCCTAGGTATGATTGGTTGCGGGCGAGCAGGCATTGCCGAAATATGCGACATTAGCAGGGCCAATGTGGCGGACGGCATGCATAAAGAAGCTGTTTATGGGTTGAGTTCTTTAGGCGGGCACGGAAAACATCAGAACAACCAAGAGAGAGATCTGCATCGTTGGGTCAAAGGGTTGCACTCGATGACACTGGAACCGCTTGAAATGTCCTTGACACTCAATGTTTCTTGGGTTATTTTTTATTTGAAACTTTTTTTGGGGTTCTGATATGACCATCTCATAGGACCCAATCGGTGTCATGGTTTTTTAAAGAAGCATATTATGTTCTCATGATGTGTGGTTAACACATAGACTTGAAACAAGTCATGCTTTACCATACAACCAAAGACAAACGAGATACGTTATTATTGTCCAACCAAGTATGGTGAACCATATTTATTTCCAATACCAGGTACCCCATGACCTTTCATCATGTCTCTAAATGTCTCTTACGGCCACAGCTCCACGGCAAGGTTCCCGGACGAGAGGGCCGAGCAGTGCAGGAAGTGCCAATGTTGCTGCCTCACGAGATCCTGGATGCAGTGTTTCATGCAGGGGATGTTCAGGATTGGGTTTGGTCAAAGATCATGTATTATGAAAAATGACCCATAGTAGTGGTTCTGTTTGAAGAAAGTATTATCAACACCGGAATTCCTGAGATGGCTGTGAAGTTCATGGTCGAACCCTGCCAGTTTGGAAGATCCATGACTGGTGCCTACAATGAGTCTGCCATTGCCGAATTTTGGCAACACTGCGCTAGCTTGGACGAGTGGAGGCATCACCCATGCCTTAATGATCCTACAATCGATCGTGGCCGCTCCTAAAACCTTAAGCAGATTATTCTGTGTTCATTTTTCCCATTCATGATCAATGACGATTACTTACAAGTGGCTTTCCAGGAAAATGAAAACCACAGAGCGAAACTCTCATTCATTATTGGGTTGTGGAAATTGTATGGCCCAATCGATTTGAGGTGTTAAATGTGTTGAGCACTTGTAGAACCATAGTCTTTGGGAATTATCATGTGGTTGGGTCAACCGCGAATAAAAACCAGTCAAGTGTTCATTGTTTTTGCCCGGATCGTGCCACCTTAACGTTTCTAGTACATCCCAGCTAGTCAAACTTGGATTCGAACCTTCAACCAATCCAGGTTTGCTTCCTATGTGCATTCATGCTGACGGGGCTGAATTCTACACGAACAATGAGTTCATGGTTTGGAGTCTTCAATGCATATTCGCCAATGGCAATCATGTGTGGGACTCAAAGTTCCCCCTTTGCGTGATACCAGTTGATTCTCTTCGAGATGCGGATATCCAAACCAAGACTCAACAAGTCATTGCAGAGCTTGTAGCATGGAGCTTGGATCAATCTACCAAAGGGATCTGGCCATCTGAAGGCCCTCATGGTCAGAAACTCGTTGGGGCTTATCGGACAAACCAGATAGGTCAACAGCTAGCTGGTGGATACCGTGGCTGCTACTTTGGGTTCAGGTGTGACGGAAAGGCCCGCAAGGAGTGCAACATGTTCCAACGGTCATACATGCACTCTTTGATTTGCGAAGCATGCCTAGCCCAAAGGCATCACAAGGATTGGCAGCCCCTCTTAAATTACAAGAACTTCTACCCAAGCGCTGCCCATCGATTGACGACAATAAGTCCAGCACCAAGTTGTTCTACTAACATTGGATAGATGACAACTTCTTTTGAACCACGAAATAGCACATCTTAGTTAGAACTATCCCGGACTCCCAGTGTGAATTCCTGCTTTCCCAGGTCATTCGGACTACATCAGGAATGCTCCCAACCATCCCTTGTCTCCTTGGCGTGTGGTGACTGGATGGTGCCTGGAGACGGTCTTTCATGATCCCATGCACGTATTATTTCTGGGAACGTGCAAGGACCTCTATGCAAGCATGTTGGGATACTGGGCCCGTAATGGCTACCTTGGTAGTGGGACTTTAAACGAAGTGGTACGAGACTTTTCCCAAGATCTCAAGGAGAAAAGCGGCCAACAAGGGCGTCTAGGATTGCATTTAAACAAACCATCCTCCAAAGAAAAAGGTATGAATATTAGATGGGGTAGCTTTGTTACTGTGGACTATCCAGGAAACCAAGTTCATTACTGGGTGTACCCCTATTTGGAATGAATAATAATGGTTAACTGATGAGGTGTTCCTAATTCATTTTTTGGGTTATTCACCGGTAACAAAAAGGTTGGGTAATCATGGTAGCCATCATTCGTTCTTTGGGTTACCCACCATGTTCTACAGGATTCTGAATACGTTGTTTTTCACGAAACCTGACCCTTCAAAAAACATGTCTCTTCAGATACTTCCTGAGGATTGCTATCTCGAACAGAAAGTTCACTGCAGCAAACACAGGGCTTGATAAAGCTTCTCATTACCCAGAGTTGGGGAGCGCTTTCAAGGCAGCCTTCGTGAAATCATGTTCATGGTTTTTTGCTGCCAAAGCTGTTGAACTTTCGGAGGCAAACCCACAAGAATCTAGACTTCAGCATGGTGTTGCTTTTCTACAATTTTTTCCCCTGATAGTTTCTGGGAAGCTATATCTAATTTGGTGTATGGTGCGTGCGATGCCTTTCTACCATGGGGTGGCTACTCAGGACGGTGTCCTGCATCTGATCTCAACGTGCATCTGGAACTTTCACCATGCTATTGTGACGATGGACCATGCTGGCATCATTTGCTTGGAGCAGGAAGCCCAGGCGATTGGGTGGCCATAAACGGTAGATGTTCATGTCCATCTTCATTTTTTTCACCAAACAAACATGGGACTTATTGGATGGTTCGTACCCTTTACCCAAAATACAATTAGTTGTGGATGAGTATCGGTAACCCATATGCATTGGCTGGGGTTGACGGTCCAATTTCATTAGAGTTCTGTCAGCCGAATCTCTCTTAGGGAACCCTTGTTGCAACAGGACATTGCGGTCTACTTTCGCAACCACTTGTGTGCGTGGCAGCATTTGGCAGCCTGCTGCGAGCAGAAAGGCATCAAACTTTTTAAACTCAGACCGAAGCACCATGCTTTGGATCACTTGGCGGCGTTGGTTGAGAGAACCAGGGTTAACCCTCGGAACACAATGACTTGTTTTTCAGACGAGTCTTTTTTGGGGTATCTGAAGAAGATTGCTTTAAAGTGCCATTCATCTTCAGTTTTGCGGAGACTGTATCAAAGATACTTGATGTTTCTCAGTCTCCGTTGGCGGGATGCCAGAACTGGCTGACAAACCAGGTGGGAGGTTGAAAAAACTGAGCTGCCCCGCTTGGTCAAGAGGTCAACTTTTTTGGCGAAGCCCCATGGCATGACCAAGCAAGGCGACAGGTGGTTGCCAACTTGGTTTTGGATGTGGTGATTAACCTTCATGTTTTCTGATCAACAAAATGTGGTAAATCATGCAGTGTTTTTGCGGGTGGTTCAGGGTATTGATTTAGAAACCTTGGTCGAACCAAGATGTAAACTCGTTTTTTGGTGATGGCAGAGTGGAAAGCTGCCACTGCATGGTTTCAGGGTGTCATTTTGACGCTGCATGTGCGGCGGTAACCGGCCGGCAAGTAGGTTTGCACCGGCATCCACATAATTGGTCTCATTGTTACCCCAATTATTTGTATATATATACATATATATATATCATATGTAAATATATGTAAATATACACACGCAAGCATAACAATATTCATATATATATATATATTCTCCTGACATGTGCACATATGTACATATATACATGTTTACATATGCGCATGTATGTAGATCATGCATACACAACATATCCACACCGTTGTTGGGAACGGTTTTCTGCATCAGCGCGCTGGAGGCTTCAAGGTGGGGACATGGTCATAATTCCATGAAATGGTTTGAACATGCGGCCACTGTGGCTGTTCGGTAAATTCCCGACATGTGACAATATTTCTATCATGATTGTGGGTTACCAAAGATAAACCCAATGTTGATCATATCAAGGAAGCAGTAGAAACCCATCAAACCCACATGGTTTGATTTTTGGCTACCCCGCATTATGTGTTGGGCTTGGGACTCCATAATCATTTGGTTAATGGTAATGATCCAAATTGAAATACCGTTGCCACCTCATGTTTTTATCATGTGCATCACAGGGTTTGAAGATGCGTCGTGGTTTTTCCATCATAACCTCATATATATAATATATGTATATTTATAGATAGACAGATAGATTTACATAGATAAATATTTATGAAGACATATGTATATGATAAATAAGCCATATCTGTGCAAGACTTTTGTCTTTGGCCTTGCTTTTCTGTTGCTGTTGCCACGCAGCTGCAAAAAATGTGCCTCCAGGCATGCCCCTGCATGCAAGCACAGCACGCTGCTTCAGGAAAGCTGGTTTCCTGTGCCAAGGGTGGGCATGGGCGGGCCATGAGCACTCTGCATGACTTTGGTAGCGGAGCCTTTGTATACCCAAAGCCTGGGAGCAGTGCGCAAACTTGCAACAGAAAAAAATGCTTTCCTCTGTGCATGCGCGGTGACAAACCACGCATTTGCTAAGAATTCACATCACCATTCAAATTCATGATGGTGCTAGAAACCATTCATGAACGCGCGCTATATCTCTTGGATATGTCCTGACGTTAAACCCTAACAATGCTTCCGGCCTTCACGGGGAGGTGTCTGTTGCAGAACCCCGTCATCGACTGTCAGTTAAACCTTAACAAGGCTTCTGGCCTTCATGGGAAGGTGTCGGTTGCAAATCCCTATCACCAGCACATTGTATGTGCAAGGTTCAGCACATTCCTTGATCTTCCACAATGGCACAACATATTTCCAAGTTCAATGGTGATGTGTCGATTGTAGAACCCCGTCATCGATGTGAACAAAGCTCTTCGATGGGCCCTCATGCCAAACCCTAACAACGTCTTCGATCTCCATGGAAGGGTGTCGGTTGCAGAACCCCGTCATCCACAAGGATCGTCAGTTGAACCCTAACAATGCTTCCGGCTTTCATGGGGAAGGTGTCGGTTGCAGATCCCCGTCATCGACGCTCTACACAATACCTTCAAAGATGATATCTTGCAAGGTACTTGTGTAGGCTTTTGTTCAAAAATTGTTCAAGTTGAAGGTTTGGTATGTGCAAGGTTCAGCACATTCCTTGATCTTCCACAGTGGCAAAACATATTTCCAAGTTCAATGGTGATGTGTCGATTGTAGAACCCCGTCATCGATGTGAACAAAGCTCTTCGATGGGCCCTCATGCCAAACCCTAACAACGTCTTCGATCTCCATGGAAGGGTGTCGGTTGCAGAACCCCGTCATTCCAGGATCGTCAGTTGAACCCTAACAATGCTTCCGGCTTTCATGGGGAAGGTGTCGGTTGCAGATCCCCGTCATTCCAGGATCGTCAGTTGAACCCTAACAATGCTTCCGGCCTTCATGGGAAGGTGTCGGTTGCAGATCCCCGTCATCCACAAGGATCGTCAGTTGAACCCTAACAATGCTTCCGGCCTTCATGGGAAGGTGTCGGTTGCAGATCCCCGTCATCGACACTCATACACGATACCTTCAAAGATGATATCTTGCAAGTTACTTGTGTAGGCTTTTGTTCAAAAATGGTACAAGTTGGAGGTTTGGTATGTGCAAGGTTCAGCACATTCCTTGATCTTCCACAGTGGGAAAACATATTTCTAACTTCAGTGGTGATGTGTCGATTGTAGAACCCCGTCATCGATGTGAACAAAGCTCTTCGATGGGCCCTCATGCTAAGCCCTAACAACGTCTTCGATCTCCATGGAAGGGTGTCGGTTGCAGAACCCCGTCATCCACAAGGATCGTCAGTTGAACCCTAACAATGCTTCCGGCTTTCACGGGGAAGGTGTCGGTTGCAGATCCCCGTCATCGACGCTCATACACGATACCTTCAAAGATGATATCTTGCAAGGTACTTGTGTAGGCTTTTGTTCAAAAATGGTTCAAGTTGAAGGTTTGGTATGTGCAAGGTTCAGCACATTCCTTGATCTTCCACAGTGGCAAAACATATTTCCAAGTTCAATGGTGATGTGTCGATTGTAGAACCCCGTCATCGATGTGAACAAAGCTCTTCGATGGGCCCTCATGCTAAGCCCTAATAACGTCTTCGATCTCCATGGAAGGGTGTCGGTTGCAGAACCCCGTCATTCCAGGATCGTTAGTTAAACCCTAACAACGCCTTCGATCTCCATGGCAAGGGTGTCGGGTGCAGCACCCCGTCATCCACAAGGATCGTCAGTTGAACCCTAACAATGCTTCCGGCCTTCATGGGAAGGTGTCGGTTGCAGATCCCCGTCATCGACACTCATAAATGATACCTTCAGGCCCTTTTCAGGCATCAGTCCTCTTGAGATGTATGTGCAGTTGGTGACAAAGCATTGTTTAAGGAATTCAGCATAAGAAGCATGGAGCAGCATGGAAAAAGATAGGTTGACACTGGACATGTGTGCATGTTCTCAGAAATGTGACCTTCTGTCGATCCCAACGACAGCGTTTTCAAAATGAGAGAGCGTTTTGGCCAAATAGATGTGGTATGTTGAACCATGTGTCCTTAGCGCAGCGTTGGATCCTCTCGGTTGCTCATCCACATCAAACGCATCGATATGAGAGACTAACGATCAGGGCCTGTGGCAGTGCGGGATCTCTTTGCCTTTGCTGCAGCTTTCCACTCATCTACTACACTACAATTACAACTACAACTGCGCTACACCACACAGCACCCATTGCAACCACTCCAAAAAACACAACTCCAACCACCTTTCCGTCCATCAGTGGATTCGCTCTGCCATCCATGCATCACAACAACTCACCTCTCCTATAGTGTCCTATCCTTGAAACTTCCGCAACCGCCTTGTGCGGACTGGTACAGAACCCAAAAAAAGTATGTCCAACTCTGGACAGTCCAGGCTCCTTGTTGACACTACTGGGAGTCTTGCCCTTCTCCTGCACCAACGGGGAAGACGGATCCATTTCACATTCATATCATATCTGCCAAATTGGATTTTAGATATATGATCTAGAACCATGTATGCTAGAGATGACAGAGTCCGATTACCAATTTACATATATCGCATCCGCATCGATATTACTATTCAATATTGTAGCAATCCCAAAACATTTGACAAATCCGTTTCCAAATTCCTGGTCTATCCTTTTGGGGTTGCTACATTCACATATGATTACGGGTCAAAACCCTGCTATCCTGGTGTTCATCCCTGCCAGCTGAACATGCGGTACCCAAAAATCTGATCGCTCATCAGCTTCCCCACTGTAACCAACATGTGTGTGGCATCCACCATTTTCAGACACATGAAACATAGCCAAAAACAATCCCCACCAAATCATGTTGATAATTGTTTTGATGCTTGAAGGCCCCATTGTTTCATCATTTTGAATATTCATTTTCCATGGTTAGCTGGCTTACAATTAATATATAGTTGGTTTTTATTTTCCAATAGCAAACCGTTAGTTTACCAACGGGTAAATGTCAATTTCCCTATATGTTTCCATCATTTCCCAGCCTTCTCCCATTCCAGCCTTGCTCTCTGTGACCTTCGCCTCTTTGGTCGTCTTCTTCGTGCCCTTCGCCACAGCCGGCGCCGGCACCGCCGGCACTGCCGGCACCGGCACTGGGGACCTGCGGTTTGGTTTCGGTGATCTTTGTTAATCATCGCGAAGAATCCATGTTTAGCTAACAATAATTCATGGACAAAACCATGAAGCACAGTGCATTGATGTTTATTTATGTTGTGTTAAAACATAATCATTGTTAATTATCTATAGTTAGTTAATACTCATCCATTGGTGTACTATGATGAAACATAATTAGTATAGTTTAACATCAATTTCATAATCACAATGATGGTTAAAAACTTTGTTAATAACCCAGAGTTTATATCACGAATAAACAATCATAAACATGATGCGGATATACCCCGGGCTCCGGTTAACAATTTGCGAACAGTCTTTTTTGCCCAGTTTGTGACAAACGATTTACCTACGAATTTCATGGGGATGTACATAGCTATGTTAGTTTACCAAAGGGTAAGGTGATAATCATGGAATTTCAATGGGGTTATATGGGATTATGATGTGAGTATGATGCGGTGATAATGAAATGATATGTAAAACTATATGATTATATGTCTAGTCTAATTAAACAGCTTACATCTAGATGACAGCGAGTCAACCTGACTTGATGAACCCAAACATTGGTTGTGTTTGATATGCTGTATTTTGAGTCTAATTCTACAGTCTATAACTTTACACACCATCTGCAGCCTCATCTTGCTAAGGAGCATGCTTGCATATCAGAACATGTTCCATCCCACTTAACACTTCCAAAACATGAAGGAACCAACACTGTTTGTCATCTCGCAACGGTCTGTTTGATGCAACTGGATGATATCTCAAGCAACCGTACAGTTTGCACCAGGGTATTGCATGGTATTAGCCCTTCCTGAAACCTCTCATTGAAACCAGCTGAACAGCTGAGTACTAGTCCTTCAACCCGAGACGTGAAGAGAAAAAAGAAGTGGGGTGGAGTGGTTTATACCCGTTGGATGGCTAAAGGGCCACACCCCAGCCGGTTGGAATCTACGCGTACCAACAAAACCATCATCACGCGCCAAGGAACGTTGAAGAATTTGAGCTGACCTTTTTCTGCGTCTTCTTGGTGATAGTTTTCCTTGGAATCGGATCATCAGGGGCACACCGGATACCCTTCAACAAAAAACAAGCACATGATACGATCCCAACATGGGTTTGATTGAAATATATTAAAATGGGGTACTATCAAAGTGGATTATGTTCATTTCCACCACTTTCAAAGACACCCAACGTCCACCATGCTCCAAGCGTCTTCACCGGCGCCGTCTTCGCGACCTTCCCCGCCTTCACCGGCGACGGCGCCGGCGGCTTCGGCTTGGGCGCGGCCGGCGAAGCGCTAGAGCTGGGCGGCCGCGTCTTGCGACCTCGCGGCTCCTGGAAATGTTCAACACATTTCAAAACTCATTGATTGATTGTTTTATAAGGAGGGTATTGCAAAATAACTTGGGGATGGTTGGAGTTCTTGAACTGGGCCCGTTCTTAACCAGTGTAGAAAGGTAGGAGAGACCAGAGAGGGCTGCAAAATTATAAAGTCTATTTATACAAACTATGAGTAAAATTTCCAACTGCTATAGGAATGGACTTCTGCAAACTATCAGAGTTTTTTCATCATATTTCACATTGAGCAGAAATAGTAACAATTTAAGTGAATCCGCCGGCCTGCCGGCGTGTCTTGTGGATCTTGCTTGTTCGTAGTTGTACTGTTTGTTTAATCTTCAGTCTCTGTCTAGACTTTCCCCCTGGCGCGGATTTTTGCCCCGTCTAACTTGAACCCACCCCCCCCTCCCCCCCCCCTCCCCCCCCCCTCCTCCTCCCCCCCTCTCCGCGTCGTGCTTATCATTTTTCGTTTCAACCTTAGTTTCGAAACATGATTCAGTTTCAACTCAAACCCCGGCTTACGCAAAACCCATGTTTTGTCTCTCCTCTTCGTGTTTTTCCTCTGCGTCTTTCGTTGCAATGTGCTGGGTTCGACTCTGCCCACGCTGTTTCCATTGTGGTGCTCCCACGCTGTTTCCCCCGCTGTCCCATGGCTACGACAAACTTCTGCAAATGTTCACATACCTCCTTCCGTAGACACCAGGCAGCAAATGCATTGTCCAGTGCCTTTTGAACATGTGCAGGAGGAACCTGCAGAAACACTTAGGAAGCTAACCTGTCCGCAGTGGCATTTCCTTGCACCACCCATCGATCAACTTCACCTTCAACCTGGGAAATGTCCATGTGAGAAACCACTTTGACAACATCAAGCAGCAAGTGCGATGCCCGGTGAACGAGGTGGAACAAGGTGCCCTTTGCAAATGTCATGGTCATTATGCTCAACCCCTGGACCGACACTGCGTTTGCTTGCATACCTCTTGACACATTTGTGTACATGCTGATTATCCAAAGAAGGAACTGTCGCTGATGAGAAATGGCATCTCGGATTGCTTCGATGGCAGCACGGATCCCCGCACGCATGGAGGTTTGGAATCATTAGCCCCTCAAGGAAGCCACTTAACAATTGCACCTGGCAAATAACATGCATCGCCCAGCGAGGCAATGCAAAATGCCCAGCTGGCCAACCTAAATCTTGGCTTGTGGGGAGAGACATCCTCCATCAGTGAAAAGGTGGAGCATTTCATCATCAGGAGGGGGAGGCTGAACCAACTGTTTACAAACCCTTGGCTGAACAAGTGCTTGCCGCCATGTGACATCAGTCCAGCCTTCAACCATCCAAGCATGGAGCCTGGTGCAATCAGGCACGTGGTCAAGGTGTTGCCGGATGTGAGGTGGGATTTGTTGCCTCAAGTCTTCCAAGGCCTGGCATTCCCAAATCCTCTGTTTCAAGCTGTCTTCAATTCCACAGAAAGGACCATCTTTGCTTGGGATCTTTCCTGTGTGGATCTGCCTGTCCTTCGTATAGAATGTGATCTAGCAGATACCCGATTCCTTCCCACCGCCACTGGATCTCATGCAAACGTGCTACAAAAACTCTACAAGGGCCTGGGTCAAAGTGACGAGGTGGACTATTGACAATGGCAGACAAAACTGGGAATGCAATGTCTGGACTACACTGAGTGCGGAAGGTGACGACAATGTTGAGCAAAGCAACAAAACCAGGGTCTAGCTTGGGGGGCCCTAGGCCAAACTGGATGACACTGGAAACTCCTTTTTATTCCACCTAAGGCATGCCATGGCATGTGCCCTCAAACGGCCAAAGTGTTCACCTGCCAATGCAACACCTGAAATGCCATGTAATGCTCTTGGACATGCAACTGTGGCAATTGCACGTAGTTTCTGCTCAATGGGCGCAGCACTACGCATGAGGGCGCCCTAAAATGCTGCATTCTTCTCAATTCTTGCTCTGGAGCTGTAGTTGGTCATCCTTCTGGAGTAGTTAAGATGGCCACCCAAATCAGAGCCACCCAAATCAGAGCCATGCAGGATTGCGTGCGTGTCCAACTGGCGCAATGTTTTCCGGTCTTCTGCATTGTTGGCCCAAAACATCGTTTTCTTCTGGTCCAGCTGCAAGTCAATGGAAACTGCGAAGTCTTCCATGCCTGCAAGTGTGCGACAAGTCGAGCTGACTTCATGGCTAAGTCCTTCCCAGCTGTTAAAAAATGTCATTACTCATTACTTGAGAAAGTGGGCTAACATTGGCAACACTTGGATGCATGGCCAAGTTAACCAGCACCATAGCAACGACACTGAGCGGATCCCCTTCGGGGTACCCATTGCTGCCAGACTAGGCCGGACACTGCACCTGCGACAACAAAGACAAAATGTCTCTGGACTCTTGAGAGAGCGTGGTGCCATGCCCTAACAAATTATACAGGCAAACCATACTGCAACGCACACGCATACACTACTGGCCTGGGGAAATTGTTGAAGGCTTTTGTCAAGTCAGTGAAGAAAACCGGGCAGCTGCTTCAATCCCCAACCCGGTACGGCATTGTGAGAAGAGTGATGGGCCTAAACTGCTGTGGGGCAGCTGCATCAAGGCATTTTTCGACATTATTAATGTGTCCAACAGGTGCAGACTGGGGCCAAGGTTGCTCATCCACATCAAACGCATCGATATGAGAGACTAACGATCAGGGCCTGTGGCAGTGCGGGATCTCTTTGCCTTTGCTGCAGCTTTCCACTCATCTACTACCTGCATGGGCGGCCATGGCATTTGATCAGTGGCTCCTGCGACCGCTGGCAACTGCTGGACAAACTGATCCCATCATTTAGGTGGAGCATCTTTGTGTTTTGTCCACATGGGCTTCCAAAGGTCAGCAAACCCAGAGCATCCGCGATTGAACAATTTCAAGTGAACGATTGAAATTAGAACTTTTCAAGTGGCGATTGAAACTTGAAAATTGAAGCTATTTTTCAAGTGGAAGGTTTTTTGCCTCTGACTTGAAAAACAACATTTTCGATTGAAAAACGATTGAAAAACGATTGAAAATTCGATTGAAAATTCAATTGAAATTTGAAACCTAATTTGGATATGTCAAAGCCTTTGAAGGTCTCAGCATGGGGCTAGACTTTTTGATCTGGATAGCCCAAACACTTTTGGGCTGGGTAGCCTCAACACATGTGGGCTGGATAGCCCAAACACTGTTGGGCTGGATAGCCCAAACACTTTTGGGCTGTATAGCCCCAAGAGTTTTGGGCTGGATAGACCCTCAAGAGCTGCACATAGCTTAAACACTTTTGGACTGGATAGCCCCAACACATTTGGGCTGGATAGTCCTTCAAGAGCTGCACATGATATACATTCTTGCCTGCAGGCATTTTCACCATGTCCAAGAAAAGGGATGGACCTAGGAGAACCCCAGTGCCAGAGATAGATGAGGAGCACTTGCTAGATATTTGCCTGAGCCATGTCAAGAAGGTGGGAGAAGCAGGTGCATTTGCTTTGGGGAAGTACATGAAGACAGAGGCCTCACATGCTGTGAAGGGAACTGCTTTGGCAGATCTTCTGTACCTCTTGGAAGAGTTTCACAAGGTGAGCCCAAGTTTGGAATTCAAATACTCGACCTTGAAGACTTGCTTCACCCAGGTGCTGCAGCAGTTTCCTGGGATAAAGGAGAAATGGCCAGTGTCAGAGCAAGGACATGTGGCCAAATCCCTGGCAGATGGCATGCTGGTTGTGTGCAACCATGCCAGAAGGATCAGCAGAGACAAGGGAAAATTTGCAGAGGCATCCAAGAACCTGACTTCTGTCGAGGTGGAGAAGCTGGAGGCGATCAAAAAGTTGGTGTCCCAGAAGCAGGAGGAAACAAAGCAGGAAGTTGAACCTGAGTCTCCCACTACACCAAAAAAGAGGAAGCCAAATGCCAAGGCAGCTAGCCCTGCCTCTGCTGGATCTCCAGGTTGGCTCCAAGAGTTTGAGATCCCACCCACTCAAGAGGAGCCTGGGGAAGATCAGTTGCTGGCTTCAGCCAAGAAGTCTCAGCCAGTGCCTCCCAGGAAGGCTCAGCTGAGAGAAGAGGTTGGAAAGAAGAAAGAGCTTAAGAGACTTGCTGCAGCCTTGCTGAAAAAGCCGGCCTCCAAGAACCATGGCAAGAAGAAGCATGAGAAGTTTCCAGATGATTTCAGGCCCACTGAGGAGCTCTTCGTGATGCCTTACAAGAAGCTGAAGTCATGTGCTCTGAGGATCAAGAATGGCAGGCAGCTGATCCAGGTGGTGTCACCTCAAGGATTTGAAGAGCCTAAGAAGATGGCACAGGAGATGAAGAAGATGTTTGAGAAGGGCAAGTGCTTTGGCGAAGTGAAAGCTTGGAAGGAGAAGAAACTCTCTGAAAAGATAGTAGAATGAGTGGTGAAAAAATGGCTTGGGTCTTGTGGTGGTTAGCAAAAAGTGTTGGGCTGGATAGCCCCAAGGGTTGTGGGCTGGATAGCCCCAAAGGGTTTGGGCTGGATAGGCCCAAGGGTTTTGGGCTGGATAGCCCCAAGGGTTGTGGGCTGGATAGCCCCAAGTGTTTTGGGCCAGGGTTTTTTGGCTGGATAGCCCAAAGGGCTGTGGGCTGGATAGCCCCACAGGGTTAAAGGTTTTGGGCTGGATAGCCCCAAGAGTTTTGGGCTGAAGAGCCCCCTGTTCAAACATGTTTGGGCCGTGAAGCCCACCAAACCCAAACACAAAAGGTTTTTTTCATGCCATGGCCATGTCTGATGATTTTTTTCAAAAATCAATCAGAGGCTGGCAAGCCTGCCATGCAGAGAGAAATCATCAGCTACCTCTGCAGAGTGAGTGGCCCAAGCAGCTGAGACTTCGCCTGAGCAGCCATGTCTGGTCCCTATGGCAAGGGCTTGAAGAAGGGAGCCTGGCAGGAGCCTTGGGCTGGAGAGAGCCAGAGTGGAGGAGGAAAGCAAGGGCATGGTGGTGGAAGTGCCACTTGGAGGGC